GTGAGTGTGGGGGTGGGGGTGGGGGGCTACGGGAATTCTCTGACTTCCCGCTCGATTTTTCTGTGAACCTAAAGTGGCGCTTAAAAAAAAAAAAAAAAAAAGGAGTCTATTCAGTTAAAGAAAAAAGTGATGATAAATACTTGAGTCAGAGAAAAAAGCAGACACGCAATTGGCAAAATTCCTTTCTCAAAACAACGTGCGTTTGCTTGCAAAGTTTTTGCTCTGACAGTTGGACAAAAGCTCTGATGTGCAGAGGATGAGGAAGCTTCTAGCAAATGCTTGGCACATGTGTGAGGTCATAGTACAGTCGAGATTTTCTGCATCTTCACTGGAAATGCAGGCTACAGAGAAGACACGTTTCGCGGTTGATGATCCATTGTGAACTCTGACCTGTGTGGGTGGCACACCGCCCTGTGGGCCACCTGGAAGGGTGGCCATGAGATTGGAAGGGCACGTGTGGGAAGCCAGGCCACACACAGGGAGCCACAGACGGTCCATTCACAGTTTCCCCGGCTTGACTCGGTGCTAATGAGCTGGATAGTGACTACAAGATTTGGCTTTTCTGAACCCACGTGTACTGGTGGTCAGGGGCAAGATGCTCCTTATGTGTTGAAAGCAGGAGCTGAGTTTCTGATAACGCCAGTAAAGAAATACCTGTGATTTCAAGTCACATTATCTCCAGGATATATGTTGTAGAACTTGAATCCATCAGTCCAGAGCCCTATATTGTGACTTTTAATATTGGGAACCAGATCTCAGGATTTTCGAAGAAGACTCAAAGTGTCCCAAGGAGCTGGGCTGCTGACACTCTGGCTTCTCAAACCCAACACATGACGGTTTTTCTTTATCTGGCGGAGGAAGAAATCGATGGTGCAGTCCTAGGCGTATTTGAAAGTCACATCAGGTGCCACGAAGCTGATGCAAGCTCTTTAGGTAGTGGAATGCAGCCCGAGAAAGCTCAGAACTCACTCGCCGCTGTTCTATGAGGTGACTTCACTCCTCACCCCTCTGGCTTCAGCACAGCACGTGCTGATGGTGCGTGGCAATCCTGAGCGGAGTCGCCAGGGCAGACACTGTCCCGATCTCTGCGTGAGCTGCATAGCCAGGGCCACCACTACCGATGAGCTAGGACTCCAATTTCCTGGAAATGAAGAGTTCACAAAGACGCCACTCAGAGGGGGAACCTGACCCCTGGGTCAGCTTATCCTTCATTTGGGCTAGACCTAGAGGCCCTGATGAACCACTGCAATGGCATGTCTCCCCATGGGCAGGAATGATGTATTTTTATTATTGTAAAAATTGGTTAGAACATTTGTCTTCCTCAGTCCCCGCTGTGTGGCCCGTGGGGGCCCCCTGTCTGCATGGCATGGCCTCTTGCAGCCTGGGGTGGCAGGGTCTCTACCTGGTGCAGCCCGAGAGCCCCCAGCCTCCCCTCGACACGACCCAAAGGGCAAATCCTGGGCGGAAACCGCAAGAGCAAGCCTCTGGGTTTAGAGCCTGTGCTCTGTGTGGTTAATAAAAGCACCACAGCAAAAGGTTTTATCCAAAACTCCTCATGTGGGCCATTCAGTTTTAAGATTTATGTAATACTGATGAAATAAAGACTCAAGAAAATCTGCCCCCAGAAGTCTGAAACCTCTCACTGAGGCTGTACGGGTGATTCCCTCTGGTCTTCACACTGCTTTCAGAACTGACTAAAAGTCCTACAACTCTTGACAGGAAAAGCTGGAGGCCTCAAGTGTCGGATGCCGGAGCCCTGTTTTAGTTCTGGAGCAGTCTCAAGGCTGTTCTTGTTCTCGGCTCCTGGAAAACTCTGCAGATCTCTGCGGCATGTGTGGGAGATGTTCCCATGCCAAAGCAAGTCGACAGACCACCGTGCGGGCAGGGTCGGGAATCAGACCGCCTTCTGAGATGATCACTCCTGGGCTTGCACGGAGAGGGGTGTAAACACAGCCCATTCATGGATTCCCAATGGATATGAAAACATGATTCTTCTGAAGCAACTCAGATGACAAACCACAGTAGCCGGGTTGCCCGGGGTCTGGGCTGCACCTTTCTTTGCAACAGGATAGTATGGACCATAGAGAACGTTGTGGTTTCTCAGGAGGTCTGTGACCTGTGATCCTAGTACATGCTGCTATTATGCACTGATGCAATTTGCTAACATTGAACCTGCCGTGTTTGTGACAGGTAAATGTATGTAGTCTGTGAGGAATGCTTTCTCGATACCAGCTTGAAGCTCACGTCCATTCGGCCAGTCATCCAAGGGAGGACATGTGTGGTTGCCTGTGGCTGCCCAGGCCCCGGTGGGTTGCAGAGACTGAGTGAGGCGAGGTGCAGGCTGGTACACCAGGCACTGCCCCACGCATTACGGCCTCTGGAGAGCAAATGACTTCTCCCCACCCTGCCCACAGAACTGGGTCCTGGGGAGCACTCTGGACAGAGAGGACAGAGAGACCCAGTGGGGGTGGGGGCTCTCTGATGTCAGGTGACCCCAAAGCACATCAGGACCAAAGGCAGGGATGAGGCAAGACCATTATCTTCTGTTTCAGGAGATTATTAGCCCCACACCAAAAGACGAAATTATTTTCTAATTGACAATCAACCAATGTAATCCATCACAGTAACAGTCTACAGAAGAAAAAAACTCATGATCATATCAATGAAGAAAAAGCATTTGATAAAAATTAATATTCATTTATGGGGCTCCTGGGTGGCTCAGTCGTTAGGCGTCTGCCTTCGGCTCGGGTCGTGATCTCGGGGTCCTGGGATCGAGCCCCGCATCGGTCTCCCTGCTCCGCAGGAAGCCTGCTTCTCCCTCTCCCACTCCCCCTGCTTGTGTTCCCTCTCTCACTGTGTCTCTCTCTGTCAAATAAGTAAATAAAATCTTAAAAAATAATAAAAAAATAAAAATATTCATTTATGATAAAGACTTGAAGAAAACGAGGGATAGAGGGGAATTTCCTCAACCTGAAAAAGGGCATCTAAGAAAACCTACAGCCAACATCACACTTAGCAGTGAAAGACTGAAGATTTTCTCCTAAGATTGGGAACAAAGCACGGATGTCCACTCTTGCCACTCCTGTTCAACACTGTACTGGAAGTCCTAGATAGTGCAAAAAGACAAGAAAAATGAATAAAAGTCATCCAGATTGGAAAGGGAAAAATAAAATTGTTCCTATTTGCAGACAGTAAAACTCTTGCAGCTCTTACAAGTGAGTTCAGTAAGGCTGCAGGATGCAAGGCTGACAGCCAAAAATCAACAGCTGGAAAATGAAGTTAAAGATCAATACCACTTATAATAGCTCCAGAAACATAAAATATTAAGGCATAAATCTAACAAAATACATACAGAATTTGCATGCTAAAAATTACAAAATGCTGATGATAGAAATCAAAGAAGATCTAAATAAATGGAAAAAAAACATACTATGTTCATGGATAGGAAGACCCGACATAGGAAAGACGTCAGGTCTCCCCAAATTGATCTATAGGTCTAAGGCTGCTTAATCAAAATCTTACTATGAATTTTTTGTAGATATAGATAGAACGACCAAAAATTTATATAGAAAATTCTAAAATTATGTAAATCGCCAACACAGCGGTGAAATGAGAGGAAACACTCTACACAATTTTGGATGAAAAGACACTCTAAAGACTGGGTGAACATATTTGCAAGTCACATATCTGACAGGGGACTGGTATCCAGGATATATAAAGAACTCTCAAAACTCAACAGTAAGCAAACAAACAATCCAGTTAAAAAAACAGGCAAATGACTTGAACCAAGAGGTCACCGAAGAGCACATAATGAAAGGCAAACAAGCACATCATTAGCAATCAAGAAAACACCAATCACAACCACAGCGAGATACCACTACACACCCATCAGAACGTCGAAAATGAAGAATGGTTGACAACACCAAGTGCTGGTGACGAGGTGGGACACAGGGACTCATACATCACTGGGGGACGGGGGGAGACGCAAAACCATACAACCACTTGGGAAAACTGTTGGTGGTGCTCCATAATGTTAAACATACACTTACCGTGTGAACCAGCAATCCTGCTTGTACGTATTGATCCAAAAGAAAGGAAAACATATGTCCATACAAAAACCTGTATGTGAGTACTTACAGAGGCTTTATTCATAATCACCAAAAACTGGAAACTGCCCTAATGGCCCTCAAATGGTGACTGGATGGAGGAGCTGTGGTATGGCGGAACCCTACCCAGGAGCAAAGAAGAAGCAAGTACCGATTCACGTGACAACACGAATGGGTCTCAAAGGCACCACAGCGAGTGAAAGAGGCGGCCTCAGAGGGTCACCGACTGTATGTTCTGTGTATACGACGCTCCCGAAAAGACAAAACTAGAGTGACAGACAACTGATCAGAGTTGCCAGGGGCTGTGGGTCATGGGAGGAGGGAGATTTTAGGGTGAGGAGCCGCTCTGCACCCTCACCGTGGCCACAGTGACACGAGGTCGTTGCATCAAACCTCAGGGCTGCACACCAAAATGGGTCAGTTTTACTCTGTGTTAATTTTCCAAATGAAATAAAAGTAAGCACGGAAAACAGACTTTAAGAGCAGACACAGTTTTAAGGCAGGTCGGGAACTGTCTGGGACAGGGGCATGGCGGCAATGAGTGGGTGCAGTTCCCAAGTGGGACTGCCCCGTGCCTAGTTCGCTCCAGCGGTCACACGGATGGATGGGCCCGGGGCCTCCGGGAGAGCGACGCCAACGGTGGGGGTCCCCCCCAGCACGGTGATGCTGGGCTCAGACGCCATTTCCACAGCAGCCCGGGAGGGGCCTTCTGCCCTCTCTGTCTACCACAGAGTACCTGGTTCCCAGGGGTGGACACTTGCCTCGGATCACACGCCCTTCCAGGTGGCAGGGCTCTGGCTCCAGCACCCCAGGCTGCCTTCCACTCAGCATCCCTGCCGCTGAGGGGGGTCTATTCAGGGTCTACCCTGCTGCCCCCGAGAGCCTCGTACATACCGTAGCTGGCGATGAGCGGGAGGTGTGGGCCAGGGAGTGTCTGGTGCTGTCCATCCCCCCGTGGATGAGATAGGCTCCCGCGCTGGAGACAATAGGGCTCCCCCCGACATCCATGGTGATGCCCACCATGCTGTGGGAGGGGACCGTTGGCGGGGAGGAGCCTGCCACGGTCACCTGGGCGCCGCCCGGGGCCTCGAAGTAAGAAGCTGCGCTGCTGGGGGCGTACATCTGAGGCTCAGGGTTGTAGGCATAGGCCGTCCGTCTGTCAGGAAGAGAGAAGGGCCTCGTCTGAGTCTCCACGGGAATCCAGCAAGACTTCACATTAAAGCTGGAGCCCCTTGACACCAAGCACACGGGGTCATTCAGACATGAAATATCAGGGCAGTGCAAAGTTCAAAGTAATCATTTCTGGAAATATTAAGGGTCATGGGATGACTCACTGAAACTATCGCTGAAAAATTCTACGTGTGTAAAGGGGTTGCATGGGGGAGCTCCTTTGAGGGGACGGAACAATTCTGTATCTTATTGCAGTTATGTGCCATCTGCACACGGGGTAAAATGGCCTAAACCACACGCGCATGCACGCACGCGATGGCAAGTAGGCTGCTAAGTGTGAATTAGGCCCGCGGGCTAGCTGACAGTCCATCCCAATGCCAATCTCCTGGTATTGTGCTACGGTCACAGAAGATGTCACCGCTGGGGGAAGCAGGGCAAAGGGCACACAGGACTCGGTCCTAAGTCTGCAACTGCCTGAGAGTCTGTGATTCTTTCAAAACAGAAAGTATTTGCGAAATGAAATTGCCTAATAAAAAGAATTTCTAAGCGATACCAAGAATTCGTCTGATATTCCTTCACCATTTGGATTGAATGATTCACCCTGTGGTTTGCGACTCAAATTTTTAGGTTCTGCTCACTCGTGTAGAGCTGGCCCCACCCAGTCAAAGGCGGTGCCCGAAGCTTAGTGGTGTGTCTCGAGAGCTTCCCTCTGGGTGGCATCGAGGCCCCTCCGACTGGCCTCCGGGAGGCCTGCACCCCTGTCCCGCCTCCCGGGGTGACAGCCGATTTAACTGTAGCACAAGATGAAGCTCAGGATGTTGACGCTGGGGCGACCTACAGACCTCGCTCAGATTTCCTGGGCTGTCCAGGCACTGACGTGCGTCTGTATGTCTCTGGCTCGCCTCGGGGCTGTGCTGCAGAGACTCGCACAGCGCCGGCCATCACCATGGCCAACCCTCACGCCCCATCCCTGAACTTCTGGAAGGAGGTCGTGGAAATCAAACGAACCAAAGGGCTCGCGTCTTGAGCACAACGCGCTTCATGGGAAATGTATCATTTTCTGCTCCGAACACCACATAGTTCGAAGGCAGAATGCTCTAGAAGTCCTTGACAAATGGAAAATCAAGTTTTAGCAACATCGTAAAGAGCCAGAGGTGGACGTAGGCAAGGATGAGAAGGTAGAGACAGAAATGGTGTCTGGATTGTGAAGACTGAATCTTCAGACTTAAAAGCTGGACTGGGGTTTTGTTTCACGTTCTGCTTTGTTGGAAAGGCCGCCTTTTCTGGCAGTGAGAACTGCAAAGGCCTGTGATTTCTGAAATCTCCACAGGGCTCTGATGTCCTAGAACTGTTGTAACAGTTCCAACATCACCCAAAGGAGGAGGAGAAGTTTCCACACACACAGCCCCAAATGGGAAGGCGTGGGGGGAGTCGTGAGAGAAGGTTCCGGACACGGCCCTTGCTTGTCTGCAAGGAGGGCCCTTCCGAGGGGAGAGGCAACCCACGTACAAGGCTCCATTCGTGTAGACGGCGTCTCCGCCTTCCACGTACTGCACCTGCGGGGGGTACACATGCTGCACGGGCTGCACCTGGAACGACAGCAGGTACCTGGCGTGAGGCACGGCGGGCTCCCGGAGGGGCCGACTGGGCGCGTCTTCTCGTGCCTTTTGTGAACATTGACTCCTACGTGTCAGATTTCCCGCCCCAGCTGGCGCTTCTACCAAGAAACTAGGAGAACTGGTCACCAAAAGGCCCCACAGGAATGGAGCTGCTCCCGATCCACAGCTCTGTTGCATTTTCTGTGCGCGGCAGCTCGTTTCTGCTGCGGAGCCCGAGGGGAGCTAGGTGGGCGGCCCCCATTCTGTGGTGGGTCGGGGGGAACCCAGCTCGGAGCTCAGAGCAAAGCTGCAGAGCAGAGCTGGGTCGGTCGGTCCCTGCCACCCGCCAGCCACTGGACAGAGGGGTGGGTCCGGCTGGACAGGAGAAGCCAGAGCTGTGGACAGAACGTGACCCTGGCGGGGGGGGGGTCGGACACCCCTCACCCCCTGTAGGGCAGAGGGCTCGAGCTGGTCATACTCTTCATGGCCTCCCTGATGTCCCCTTTGGGTGGCCCTGGCACCCCTCCCCAGAGGGGCGGGGGTCCTGAGAGGCACACCAAGGAGACCTTCAGTCTGAGCAGAATGGAGTGGGAGGTGGAGAGGGGCACTGGGAAGCCCCCAGCCTCGGCCCGCCACGCCCCTGCCTTCACCTGTGGCCATGTCAGTTCAGCACCTCAGCAGACAGGGGTGCTGGCTCGGGTGGTGGAAGCCCGAGCTCTGCGCGCAGAACCTTACACCCTCACCACAGAGGGAAACTTAAAGGATGCCTCATCCAACCTCCTTTTGGGGTAAGAGAATCAGGGGCTGGGTTTCATCGTGGCCTCTCTCTAAGCCTTTTCGTGGAGCGGCAGGATGGGCTGATTCCCACCTCCTAGGACAACCCAACGTGGTGCACGATGCACACACACAAGCCCCTGGAATAGTGAGCATGCCCGAAAAGGTTCTGGGGACTAACATGCTGGGGGTGGGCTGTGCCTTAGGGGACTGGGGGAGACGCAGAAGTCACTCTGCAAGTCCAAGCTGCCCAGAGAGAAAGGCTGGGGCAGGCCCAGCCCCACAGAGAGGAAGCTTCTGGAATCACGACACTGCTCGCGTCTCCCTCAAGGAGCTGAGACAGAACCGCTGGTTCCCTGCTGGGCCTGCCAGAAGCCTTTGCTTCTCTCCCATGACCCCAAAACCTGCCTCAGTTGCCTCCAGACAAGTGCCTCTAAACACACCAGCAATCTAAGCCGGAACCCCCTGGGGAGAGGGGTGTGCCGTCTGTTCCGGTTCCTAGAAACTGCACTGATTTTAATTTAGCATGTTACAGAGCTCAAGTGCGCAAACTCCAGCCCTCGGGCCAAATCTGGCCTGCCTCTTTCTGCAAATAAAGTTTTCCGGGCACACGGCCATGCCCTGCCACTTCCATCCACAGCTGCTTTCTCAAGACAGAGGCAGAGTTCAGCAGTGATGTCAGGGGCTGCTAGCCCGCCAAGCCGAAACATGTGCTGTTTGGCTTCTTCCAGAAAAGGTCTGCCCTCTGCTGCTCTAGGTCACCTGGGCTCTGTCCGAGCTGCTGATCTGTGCAGCTGTGTGGCTGGGGAGCCCTCGCTCTGAAGCTCTGTTCCGGGATCACTGGATTTCACAAGAAGCACTTCCTGGGTCATGGCATTGGTCTGAGGGTACAGCACTTGCTTCCCCAGCAAGTTCCGCGTTCCTTCAACCCAGAAACTGGGCTTCTCCATCTGTGTGTCTACCTTGGTAGCCCAGTGCTCTATCGAGGTGCTGGCTTGCACCCCGAATGCTGAATTTCTGGATGAATGAAAGATCGTCAGCTTTCTTGGCCTGTTGCAAACTCTCTGCAGTAAGATTCTTTTTTTTTTTTTTTTAAACATAGCTTCCGAAAGAACCTTCTGGTCGAGAACTGAAGATATTAAAGACAAAGGAACAGCAACAACAGGAAAGGATGCCTCGTTCAGAGAGGGCTCCAGATCGCTAAGGGCTAACGTGTCCCATGTCCCCTGTGCTGTGGTTACCTGCTGTGGCACCTGCTGGACCCTGGGGAGGGAGATTGGCTGCATCTGGGCTCCTTTGGGAGCCGAGCCCGCTGCCTGGACCAACACCCTCTAAAAGGGAAGGAGAGAAGGACGTTTAGACTTTAGTCAGAGCTTAGCCCTTAAAACAAACACAGATTACAACCAGAGCACCGCTACCTTCTCCACTGTCACCTCACAGAAACATAAGCAGGACTGATAGGAAGACAGGACGGTGCACACACACACACACACACACACACACACACTCGTTCGCGTACACGCGCACACGCACCTCCACCTGCCCCCGCAGCTCTCCTTCCCTGGGGTCTGTTCTGCAAGGTGATGCGGGCTGTCCCTGGCACCAAGCTGAGAGGCCGGGTGAAAAGAAGGACCCTCCAGACAGCTGTCCACACCACCTTCCCCCGTCCCTGGCACCAAGCTGGGGCTGGTGGCAGAACGTGGCCGCCGTGGTGGAAAGTTGGGCCGGAGGGTGCAGGGTGGGGAGGTGAAGCGTGAGGCGCACACCTGGCTAAGTGAGGCAGCAGGAATGCCTCTCCCTGGCAAGGGGCGAGGCACCCACTGTTGAGGGAAGGCAGGGTGGCCCGTGAGCATGAGTGCTTGTAGCTTTCCAGAAAGGGAGTGCCCCAAGTAAGCAGCAGGAAGTCTGCGTGAGGAACAGAAGAGACACCTGGGGGGACCAGATGCATCTCTAGCAAGGATGGAAGGCCTGGAACTGGGGAGGGACACCATGGCCATGGTGCGCCCCTGGAGGTGGGCCCCTGGCACCAGACAGCCAGGGGATGGAGGGCTGAAGGGTCAGCTTCAAGCGGGCAGGGACACAAATCAATTAGGCTACCACTGAGTCTGATCATACCCCCTTGGCACCCTGAGAGAGGCTTGCAAGGCCCACGCGGGGGCTGCTATATTTGCAAGAAATAGAAGTTAAACAAGTCTGATTGTCCTTTCTAAAATGAATAAACCTCTCCGAGGTCTGCCTTTTTGTTTTTGCTGAATGAAGGGGCGTTTTCAGCTTCATCAATTCTGTCATGCTTCTAACTTCTGGAATCATGCTCGTGGCGGGTCACAGGGCCACTGCGGGCCACGCCTCCAAGCTTCATCTGTTCCACTGCCTCGGCTTTGTGTGGTCTTACGTCACTAACTTTATGTTTGCGTCTACGGTGTATTTCCATCCACGGCAGAAACCTGGAAGTCAGGAGCCTTCATGTGGAAAGTCTGCAAATTTTAAAGAATATATCCGTTCTAATGCTAGAACTCTAACTGATCTTTTGCCTTATCCATAAAGTCTTCCTGGGTAAAAGGGTTAATTCCCAGGTACGAGGGAACTTCCATTAAACGAGAGGAAGAGACTAAGTTGGTTTCTTTTCGTGTTTGTATCCTTGAGTCCTTGGTGGGACCTTTTCAACAAATAGCGACTGACATGTTAATTTGGGAAACCTCTCTCTGCTGACTCGGGTGTTTTTCAAAACCTAAGAGGATGCGCCTCCCGCCCCTGCACCGGCCACGCAGGTTTTCCCTGAGCAGCAGGCGGGCTGGTCTGTTACCTGCGGGGAGGCTGGTACTGGCGGGGCCGCGGGGGCCTGGGCTGCCGCTGAGGGACACAGAGTCACAGAAGCTGGCGAATCGGATCCACCCTCTGAATTCTGCATGCTCAGTTCTAAAGAAAGGCGGGAGAGAGATTGAGTGGAGCAGGGTTGCCATCATGAAACCCCAAGAGGCAACGTCAGACACGCACAAGATTGGTGAGTGGTTATTACCTAGTCTTCAAAATTCAAATGTATAAGGAGGACAGGGAAACAGGGGGCCCAGCTGCTCCCAGAAAGAGAGGGGGTGGGGCAGGAAATGTTTTTCCCAATATAAAACCAAAACTCGGCTCTGCAGGCACTTCTCAATGGCAGGCTGGGACAACTAACTCCTTCTCCCCTGGCCAGGCTGATCCGGCTGAACGACTTCCCAGCGCTCAGACAACTGTTTACTCCTTTATCCAGCAAATCACAAGCTCTTGATGGATGCTTGCCATCTGGGGAGATACTGTACCCCAAACGACAAGGGCGTTCTCCTAGAGCAGGGTTTTTTTCCCCCTCAGCACTGGGGACCACCAGGGCCGGATCGTTCTTCATGTGGACCCCGGCATCCCTGACCTCTGCTCATTAGATGCCCAGAGCGCCGCTCTCCCCGCCCTGCCCCGCCGTCATGACAACCCGAAAATATCTCCAGACCCTGTCCAAGGGAGGAAAAAGGCGATACACAGTGGAAGTAAAGGAGCATTTTATCTTGGGCTGGATAGGAGCACTGCCTTCTGTTCCCAGACACCCTTGCCTATGAGAAAGCATAAAAGTGTATTTCTTTGCCACCAGATGCATATATCTTTCAAATAGGTAGTTTAAAAATTCTATATAGAAAGACTCATTTCATTTTTTTAAAGATTTTATTTATTTATTTGAGAGAGAGAGAGTGAGAGAGCAAAAGCAGGGGGCGTGGCAGAGGGAGAGGGTGAAGCGACTCCCTGCTGAGCAGCGAGCCTGATATGGTGCTCGATCCAAGGACACTGAGGTCATGACTGAGCCACTCAGGTGCCCCAAAAAAGACTCACTTCATACCAGGACAGCGCGGCAGATGATACAAAAAAATCATTCCATGAAAATGCTCAAGGGCAAACGGTCTTCGCTCTTTAAGAACCGGCTGCTCTTGGCATTTGAGAAGCTGTTAAATATGCGAACTGCAGAGAGTGGGTGGCTCTGTGGGCAGGTGCACCCCCGTCCTGTGCACGTCCCCCCAACTGTCAAGTGGAGTCTCCCCACTTCTGCTTCATGGGGAGGCCTGAGCAGCACGGCGCACACCACACACTGCAGTGCCCAGGACGGACTGCCAGAAGTTTACATATGCTTCCCCAGCCCAGGAACTCCCACCTCTCACAACGAGGGAAGAAAGCAGAGAGCAGCGTGTGGGTGTTTATCTCCGAGTGTTGGCTTAACCCCATCTTCACCGATGAGGAATATTCTAGGACTCAGCCCATTCCTCTCCAAAGCCTTTGGTACCATGAGAGCCACTGGATGGAACTGTGGATGTGTTGCCTGTGCCTGTGGTGGGTTCCCGGTTCCCGGACTCAGTCCTTACCACTAGATGTCCTCAGAGCCACGCGGTGACTGGCATCCCCTACTTTCTTCTCTTTTAGGGAAGGAGGAGATGGAGAATTTCCAATGTATTATTTTCTGGGTCTCCAACTCTCTGCCTTTCTGATAATTCCCTGACCTTTGGAATTATTCTGTAGGAAGTTGCTTAATCGAGGTCTTATTTACAATTTTCCCCAATGTTGGAACCAGTCATCTGCACCCCACACACCACTTTTTTCCAATCTGAAGCCAGGAAGTGGGTCACTTCGGTGGTAGTGGGAGGAAATCGCTGGACTAGGGCTCTTTGTGGAGAGAATCCACTGGTCACAGAGTGGGAAAGCTGACTCAGAGGCCAGTTCCTTGTTCACAGGCAGAAATAATTGTGCTCCAAAGTCTAAGTCTTATTCAAACCAGGGGAGCCCGTGAGAGCGTGAGGCTCGACAGCGAGCCCATGCTTGGCTCACTGTGGCCAGAATGCAACTTCCAGAATGCAAGTTATTCAAGATCATGCCAGGTTTTCACACGAATGTGTTTCCTAGTTTAACACACTGTTTGCCATGTGCTGTTTGTCACACTGTTTAGTGCACGGTGTTTAGGCCAAGGGTCGCCAAAGCTTTTCTGCCAAGGACCAGAGACTTTTGGGTACATGTGGTCCTATTACAACTACTAGACTTTGCTGTCCTGGCACAAGAGTGGCCATTGCTCGCTCACACACACACACACACACACACACACACACACACACACACACAAATGATCCTGGTTGTGTTCTAATAAGACTTCATTTAGAAAAAAAAAAAAGGTGACAGGCCAGGTTTGGCCTGTAGACCATAGCTGCTGGTCCTTGGTTAGTATAATTTGGGTTTGCTGAAGTGATGTGGGTTTGGAAGATGGGTAGAAAAATGTCACTGTCTGGATCAAAACCTTGAGGTCCAGGGGCCCTGGATCCAGTGCGGAGTCCTTGTGGCCACATCTTCCCAACATGACAGAACTGGAGGCACCACAAGGGATGACCCAAACTGTCAGAGGAGGATGAAGTTGCCGGCATTTAAAGACAAATGGAATTATCATCTGGTCTGAAATGACAGCAGTGCTCCTGAAGGTTATAAAGTCACAAATAAAATCGCCAAATCCTGGAAACTCAGGAGCCAGTTACAGCCCTTGAAACTGAAGACAGGAGTTTGGGCACAAGGGACAAGTCACTCTGGGGAGTTGTAGTGGGTTGAACAGTGACCCCCAAAACTCATGGCCACTCAGAATCTCTGAATGTGACCTTCTCTGGAAAGAGTGTCTTCGCAGACATAATCAAGGTAAGGATCAAGAAGAGGTCATACTGGAGTAGGGTGGCCCCGAAATCCAAGGACTATGTTCTTGTTACAGACAGAATGGGACACGCAGGGAAGAAGGCCATGTGATGATGGAAGCAGAAAGGTGGGATGCAGCAACATGCCAAGGAAGCCAAGATGGCTGGGGCCACCAGAAACCGGAGGAGGCAGAAAGGATCCTTCCCTAGAGGTAGCACAGCCCGCCGACACCTTCTGGTCTCCAGAACTGTGAGAGGACAAGTTTCAGTTGTTCCAAGCCACCCAGTCTGTGGTACTTAGAATGGTAGCCCCCGGGAACTCATGCAGGGATCCATATTATGAGCAGCACAGCTGGGACAAAAGCATCCCATGCAATGGCTTCTGGGTAGTGCTTCAGTGCTGTGCACAACCTGGGCAGTTGATAAATATTTATCAAATGAATAAATACTTCAGTGTCTCCTTAGTATTACAGCCCATACCGAATTATACAAAATGATATATAGTGTTTCAGATAGTGAGAGTCTATATAAAGTTCCAGGACATTTACAGTCTACCTCGTTATTTTAAGGATGTGTAGGACTATTCTGGGAAATGTAATGACCTTTTGAGACTGACTGTTCTACTCCCCCTGAACACATCCCTTAATGTTAGCATCAGACAGACAGATGACAGACACCATGTGGGCCAGCCTGGCTGCTCCAGTATGTCGAGGGCATGAAATCCTTCCCTACCCATCTAAGATAACCAAGGTCATACGTTGCATATAAGCTGGTCCAGTTTCCTGAATTTTGTTTCTCTGAATTTCTTTTTATTTGAGTCTGTTAATCAAGGACTCCTAACACATCAAAGTTAAGGTTTTTAAGAAAATTGTTTATTAAGAGGTATGCAACAGCACTGGCTTTCAGTAATGGTGGAGCAGATTGGCTGGACTAACCCTCCTGCAGATAACAGTTAAAAAATCTCGACAAAATATTAAAACACACAACACTTACACACACACACACACACACACACACACACACACACACACACACACACACACATACCTATTTAAAGACATTGGGGGGTGATCAAAGCAGGCAGACATTGCCTGGGAGTCCAACCTTGAAAGACCTCTGTCACAGTCAGACCAGTGATTCTGAATTTTTGCCAGGGGCATGCCCCGGTCCATGAATGCTTAGGTGGCAGAAAGCAGCAATCTGGTTGTCTTGAAGTGTGAGAGGAGACAGTTCAGAATATTAGGGGGAAGTCCTGGAAGAGAGAGAGCCACAGAGGGGGAAAGCCCCCAGATCTGCCAAGAGTCTATCCAAATCTTTAGCCAACTGACTAACCTACACTTGTGTGGGGAAGACACCAGGGGTTTGGGAGAAAAACCAGCAGCTCAAAGATGAACAAACTTAGAGGAGATTTCAGCTGCTGCTGAAAAAGATATATTTGCATGAGGGGCAGGGTTTGAGTCTAGCCAAGATAAACACTAGCAGGAGGAACACAACAGAATCCAGAAATTCTACAACATAGCATTCATGATATCCAGGACCCAATAAAGACCATGAACTAGGAAAAGAAATAGCTACGACCCATGCTCAAGAAAAAGAAGGGAGGAGTCAGTTATAACCGAACCATGAGAATCCAGGTGGTACAGATAAAGCAGCTCCTAAAAATATGTCCCAAGAACTTAAAGGAAGTTATATGCACAATAAATGAACATATAGGAATCTCAATGGGGGAGGACAAACTATTAAAAAAACAAGTAGAAATTCTGTAGCTGAAAAGTGCAATAACTAAAATGGAAATTTCACCAACTACACTTAACAGCTGATTAGAAATGGCAGAAGGAAGAGTTAGTGAACTTGAAGAGAGATCAATGGAACCCAATCTGAAGAACTAAGAGGGGAAAAATTGGAGAAAAACGAACAGAATATGCAATCTAACATATATGTCACTGAAATCCCAAAAGAAAAGGAGAGAATGGGAGAGGAAAAAGATATATCTCTTAAATTTGGTGAAAGACATCAACTTACAGATCCAAGAATTTCAACAAAGCCCAAGAATGATAAATACAAAGGAAACCAACTTAGATGCGTCATATTTAAACTGCTAAAATTAAAAAAAGAAAAAGAAAATCTTGAAAGCAGCCAGAGAAAAACTACATATTATATTAAAAGGAACAATAGCATGGATAACTGACTTCCATCAGTGACAATGGTGACCAGAAGACAATGGGATGACGTATTTAAAGT